TTTTTTTTCATTATTGCATTTCATGTCTAAAAAAAATTTTGTCAGGCATTAGTTCTCATATATCCATCTCACATCTTTGTCTAAGGTTTTCCAAATGATACCTGTTGCAGTTTTTCTTTTTGGCAAATTTCTTCCATTTTGACAAAAATCCAAAATTGCACTAAAATTACCGAATTTGGGTATTTTGATGCAACGTATCTTACTTTCGTACCTTTAAGGAAATGTATGCTAAATTTGAATCCTTTTTCTCCAAGGCATTCTTATATCATGCAGTAAAAGTTTAAATACCATTCTTCTTGCAGCCAACTTTGCATGACAACGCAAGGAGGATTTCTGCCGCCGATTTCATTTCGCGAAATCCTAAATTTTTAAATTATAATTTCGCTAATTTTGAATTTCACCAACTGGACCACTCCCTATGTTTTGGTCATTAGCCCATACGGGAAAAAATTCACAAGCGACTCATTTTTGCGATTGACTTTGCCTCGTAAAATTCGCGAAATTGAACCAGGCTATAACGTTTCTTGCTGAACTGTTTTTTTTTTCCAATTGCATAGCTTCTTTGCTCTCCCTTGCAGTTTTATCAAATGACGTAATCTTCTAGATGTATTCGTCGTCCCCCAGAGCGTTCACATCGCCTCCGAAATATTAAATACTTGGCGGAGGTCGCCCTTCACACCAATAACTTAGAGGATGGAAATACCGATAACTTAGGAAGTTGAAATGGAACTTTCAGGCTAGGAAGAGCCACCGATTCGCAAGTGGGACCAGTAGAAGGGTCACACTCCGATTTCCCTTTGGGATATCCTAAGCCGTCTTCGTATCAATTAATAAAGCCTCGTAGCTCGCGATGGAAGTCCACCTGTTGAAGTATAAGAACCGATGGAAAATGAAAAATTGAAGGGGTGATGAGTTGAACCCCTCCCCTCCCCCCTCAGCACCTCCAGTAGGGTTTTTTTTTTCCACTAATCTTCTTCACTGCATGTAACCAGTCATATTTCTTGTTTCACCCTGACAAGAGGTAGCCCGTGCACTGATAAGGCAATGTCATCAAGGAAAAATCAAGGTCGACGGAGTTTGTCCATGGGAATGGCATGGGAAAGCCGAGGTAGAAATACTGTATTTCCAGGTGTGTCAAAATTTTCTTAATTTGACTCAAGTTTGAATCAAAATAGAGTTGTGATTGGGTTTAGAGACTTCGTGAAATACGAGGCTGCCTGGGCTAAAAGCAAGAACATGTTCACTTCCTTTAAATTTCTTTGCTTTGCGGGACAAGTCTTGCTGTTAAAAGGACGTCGGACAGACAATCGAATTTCAAAACTGTCCCGCAGAGTGCGAGATGGTTGGTCACCTTATTGAAGGAAAACACAAAACAGGGATCAATATAACTGTTTGTAAAAGTGAAAGTTATAAGCTAAAAATCAAAAGTATTGATTAAGATGCTTCCATCGATAATATTTATCTCTAGAGGGATAGGCTTCCAAGTAGCACAAAGGTAGTGGGCCATAGGCGGTCCAGGCACTACACTGGCGGATTTCTGTCGGAGGAGACAACATGGCGGCAAGTGGGACATGCAATTGCTAGCAGGGCCATTTCTAGGGGCGGGCGAGACGGGCGATCGCCCGGGGAGCCGGCGGAGGGGGGCGCCGTGGAAAGAAACACCATAATAAAACAGACTTTTTTTATTTGGTTAGCATCCACTTTATGCGAACTAGCGCTAATCGGGACGATGTAAAAATTAAAATTATTAATGATATTTCATGTTATGCCGTGCAGCCTCCTACCAGCGTACTGGTGAGTCTGATAACAGTTTCATAATCGGGCAGAAGCCCTTCCGCCTACTCCCAACCTTACCTTAGTATATGCGGCATGATGCCACGCTACGACTACGCAATGGATACCAAGTAAGACTTTCGCAATAAGTCGATGCATCGATACCACTATCGATGGTTGGAAGAATCGATAGTTTTTTCGACCGTCACGATGCTTGCACAAATTGATGGGAAATGCCCCGCTGGATTGAGACGAGTACAATACAGTCCTGGGGGGGAAAGGAAGAGGCGGCGAGTCCGCATGGGCTTTCAATTTCTAATCACGATAAATTTTTGGGAATGCTGGGACTGACTATATTGTTACGGAGGGAAAGTGGGAGTCGGACGGCATGAGAGGTCGAAAGAAGCCAAGGAACGGCGGGGAATTGAACCCGGGCCTCCTGATTGCCGATCAGGTGTGCTACCACTACACCACCGAACCTAGGACAATCAGTCGAGCCTCTCGATGCCATCCTCATCCGTCACAAAATGAAAGAAGAAAGGAAAAATAAAAGTACGAATGAAAGAGAGGAAGTGGGTTAGGAGAGGGAAGAAAGACTGAGAATATTTTTTTCTCTTCTGTTTCAGTCTTCGGCTCGATCTCATGAGGTGCATGCTATAAAAGTGGACTGTTCTTGTACTCCCTTCATATCGAAACGTACATCGGTTAATCCCCCTCTCTATAATCCTGTCTTTCTCTTTAGTATGGAGGCTTAAGTTTTTGAATTTTTAATTTGCACTGGGGAATTTTACCACTTACGGTGAACCCAAAGTGAATTATTTACTCGGACGTCGCTTGCATCTAGGGCTGTAGGGATGTTTTGGCAACCGCAGGTGTGGCACCATCGACTGGTTTCCTAAGAAACACAATAATAAAAACAAGTATTTTTTATATGGTTAGCGTGGAGGTAAATGCCTTGACTTGGCTTTGATTACAGTGGATTCTGCTTTATGGGGCATCAGTTAATAGGGCAGCCGGTTTATCAGGACGTTTTGTCAGGAACGGAACCATTTCTATGCAAGTGCATATAAATTTCTCCGTATATTCGGGACGAAAATCTGCTTCATTGGGACAAGGTCGGGGTGAATTTAAGCAGTCGGTCCGAGGTGTTTTTTTTTTTCCCGCCCTCTCTCTCCCTCCTCTTCGCCGTGTATTTTGTGGTTAAGAACTGGCCGACTGTTAAAGCAGAGACCATAGCAAACTGTTTCCGTGGATCTGGCTCTCTTTCTGGACCAGAGGTGCCAGCATCAACCTATGAGGAGGGTCTGACTATTCTTGATGTCACTAACGGAGAAGCCTTCGTCAACATCAACGAAAACGCACCATGCTTCGCCGAACACGATGACTCTGAGGACGATACAGTCTCGGACATCGTTGCCATGAGGCCTCGCTTAGGGGATGTCGCAGACGAGGAACCTGAAACTTTACTTAAGGGGACTCACGTACGAAGCCAGGTGATCGGTGAACATCCTTCAGCGCTACTTCATTGAGCAGGGTTTGGATAACTGAGGACATGGTGCTCTTGACATTGGTACTTCAGAAAAGCTTTTTCAGGTATGAAACAAGCAACTATGGGCAAATTTCTTGAATCGTAATTTTTTGTTTTGCACAAGTAAAGGAAATTCGTGTCTGGGTTTCGTTCTATACTAAAAAAGTAAGTTCGTTTTATTAAGGCAGCCGCTTAAATAGGGCGTATAAAGTTGGAACCAACGTGTCCCCAGAAAGAGAAAACCGGCTATATTTGCAAATGTAACAAAATGATTTCCATCAGTTCCGGGGATAAGGCCCTTATCGCCAGAGCTGCGGTGGTGCTTCGCGTCGCAGTTGTTGGTTTGGTGGGTGAGGGGGCGGGAGCGCCAATATGCCTAGAAACGGCCCTGATTGCTGGCCCGCTATCTACTGTAGGTAGCAGACCACAAGCTTCCCATAATGTAGCTAGCACTCCCCCCAGACGCAGTACCAAGAGTCTCCACTAGATGGTACCTATATTCCCTGCTCTCTTCAAATGCAATTAAGTACAGCTTTTCTGATTTAACAAAAGTGTTTCTTCCCCTCTTTCCACTTTTCATTGTGTAATTTATGAACAGATATGAAGAAAGCATGGAATTACGATGTTTTAATTGCAATATATGACTTAGGGAGTTATTAAATGCGGAATTCGGGTACGGTAATACCGAAGTGTTCGGGAATAGAGAAGGGTAGAGTGTAGACCTTTACACGATGACATCCACGAGATATGCCGGATAGTCACCACGCATATTTAGTACCACGCTAAGGGTAAAATAAACACCTGCAATGTGACATGCCGGCGTGTCATGCAGCGACGTATGAAAGAATTAACAAACTACATTGGCGGTCAACGTCATTGAATGTGCGTTCGGCATGGACTGAGGATGTCGATATGGCATGGATATGGCATGGACTGAGGATGTCGAGGATGTTCGGCATGGACTGAGGATGTGATTTGCTAAGTAAATATGTACCAACTCTTTTGCAGTGCAATATTATTTCCATGGCGTATCCAAAGAATTAAAGTTATACCACCCATTACAGGAATGACAGTAACCCTATGGAGCCCAACGAATTGCAAATGTGTCTGCAAATGTGTATGCAAATGTGTCTGTTGACACTGCAACGCTAACTGTGAACCTTGAGCCATGGAATGGAATCATGGCGGCGTTCCTGTGGGCTACACGTAGGCATACAATTTTGAGTGACTTCGTAAGCCTGCACTATCATATAGAGGCAGACTCGTAAAGCTTTCTGCATAACTGGAGTTCCATTAGTCTACATTGACAGGATGTTACGTTTTCTTTATTCACTTAAGTGAAAGTCTTTCTTCTAATGCTCCCATACCCGGCCACTGCACTTCACACGAGTGTCTCAAGTGAGGAGCACTATCGGATTCACATCCTACATTCAAAATTGGAATGTACATCCATAATAGTCCTGTTGAAACGTTATGAAAGTCTTCATAACGATCATACTGTAATGATTCAACTCGATGCAAACCAAATCGTGAAAACTTTATTTTTAATAAAGCTGTTGGGAGGGTATGTATTCGATCGAAAGGATAAAAAGGAAGACCGAGTTCACTCTAGGCCTAGCCGTAACGTTAAAGCTTCGATAAATTGGCTTAGCCCAATTCATCCGCCTTTACGGATCATTCCAGGTGACTTAGATACCCCATGTGCAGTAAGTCCTTAGGCCTATAGCCTAACGTTAGGTTGCATAAGGCTTGAGAGGGTTAATGTTGTTTATAAGTTCCAATTTGGCCGTGTACTTTCTTGAAATGAAATAATCCATAGGCCAACTCCAGAAACTCAAAATTACCAGTGAAAACATCATCTTTATTTCCAAGTAATGAAAGAGTATAATTATGGTGCTAAACCTAGTGAAAGCTTAGTCAAAGGAAGGTGAATGAAGAGAAAAAATTTTAAATAAATACATGAATGTACAACCTAAGTACAAGAAGAATTAAAATAGCAGGATAACATCAACAACACAGTTGTCAGCATGTATCCAAAGTTGCCATCAACACTTCATGAATCTCTGTCGGCCTCCATTTAGAGGCCACCAAACTCAGTGCATGGCATCACTTGTGCTTTTACTGACCTGAAGGTGGGATCATCCCACCTCATTGCATACACTCCATAGGCTAATCGAATGAGGTTTAAATTTCAACCAGCATGCTTTGTGCTTAGCCAGCACAAGGCAATAAGACCTGCATGAGGAGGCAATATAAATGGTGAGTATGAAGGATCCCCTTCCAGAATTTGCCACCCTGGGTGTAAGGAAAAACCAGCCACTCTTTACATGTGCATGTATGCAGAATGACAGCAATGTCATACATGTCACATGTATAACCAAAGTGTCTTAGGTCATGATTGGAATAAAGTTATGTTGCCATAATATGGATAATTGATTGAACAAGCAATCTAGTGATGACTACGGTGTTGATGACGATAGAGATCGAAGTTTGAAATGACTAATTGAGTTCCTTGAAGTAAACTTACCTGAATAGCCCCAACAGAAAAATGTTACTTAAGTAATTGATGCAGTAGGAGAGATGTCATACAGCCACAATACAGATACACTGTTTTCAGATTGTTTCAGATTTAATTCCCCCAGGTAGTGGACAGATTGGTATTAGATGATCCAAAAATCCATTCTTGTGGAAGGTGTCACTGCATGCAATTCATGAAAGTACTCCTAAGGGGGTGAAGGTATGAATTCAATCTGAAAGCAGTGTTGTTATAGGACATTCTTTCCACAGCCTTCAATCTAGGTGTACCAAATTTTATTTAAAAATGTATTAAAATGCTTTGTAGCACAAAGTGATTTTTAAAATGTGCAAAATCACTCTAAATTCATTATAGGCCCAGACTTAGTCTAGCCTTTTGACCTATATCATACCTTCAAAAAGTTTCTGAATTGAGAAACTGCCAAAAGCTGTGATACAGAACTCTTACATGCTGGATCATATAACTGGGATGTTTAGGTAGCCACCCAGATTGTATCCTGCATGTTATAGCACAGAAGCCAGCTTGACGCCTCAGGATGTGCTTTGTAGGTACGTCTTGTCAGAGTGGATCATGTCATCCATAAGGAGCTGAAGGATGTGCAGTTTTATGCACAGGTAGACTGCCAATGCCGTGTACTCCATGCTCCAACTGGCATACTTCTCAATGCCAATGTCTATGACCATCTTCAGATGGGTATGGTTCATTTTGCCACCACCCTTGGAATACATATCGAGGCCACCTCTCCATTCATGTACTTCATCATTGTAAAGGATCTGGGGCTTGATACGATGCTGTATGCATTCCGCTCTTGTTACATATGGGAGACATCACCACCCCCCTACTCCTTCCCATCCTTTGATCCACTGTCACCACTCATGGAATATAATCTGCATTATGAAATGTTTTGCAATTACCATTCCACCCTTGAATAAGAGATGTACCTCCAACACCTGCATACATGATGGGACATCATCCTTGTATACCTGCAATAACCTGGAGTAAGTAACTTGGTGTTTGTGTCAATGGCTGTATTGCCTTGCCTAACTGCACATAAAACATCACCCATTGCTCAGCACCTTAAATGTTTGCCACTGAGGAATTGCACCTATGAAAAACATCTTGAGTTCTCGTATCCAGAATGGCACAGTGTGTGTGTTAGGACAAGCCTCTGTTACACACTTCATTGTGAAATAGATATGTATCATACCTCATTTTGCTCTTTCAATGTCAACGTGAAACTTCTTGGATCAGCTCCCCAACTACCTCTATATGATTTTCTTGTTGGCTAGCTATGGGCCTATTCATTTGCCCTAGCTTATATTCTTGACTGGGTTTATGATGAAGAGAATCTTTTCCAGGTGTGAAAGGAATTGTTGGAGCCCCAGACCCAACCCCCTTCAGTCTAACCATGATGGATCCAGAAGCTTTCTTGGACTTGGCCAACCAAGTCACCAAGTTAAAAATGTATCCATATTTTGACATAGCACATTGTGCCATAACCTGTCTTGCGATCAAGGATGATTTGGCGGCTGGTGAGTGATGCAATTATTTGAATGCTGTTCTTACTCTTTCCATGTTAAACCTAAATTCTATTGTAAATCCCATGTAGTCAACTTTATCAAACACCCCATTTGGTCTAAAAAATTTGCCAGCCTAACTCATTTGTAAGAAATACAAAAGCAAAGTAAGCAAATGCTTCCAATTGAAACTGGAGCAACCAAGACATGTTGCCTTGATATTGAGCCAAAGTGTTGATGGAAGCTGATAACATATAATCCTGTCGTTTGTCTTTATAGGGGCTCATCTCTTTTCACGAAAACACCCACTTGCATGTTGGATCTCTAGCATGGTTGCCATCTTTGCTGGAGGTCTCATGGCCAGTCTACTTCTTGGAGAACCCATCCTTGGGGTCTTCAAAAATTCAAATCAGCTTGTAATTGCAACTTTAGTCTGGTAAGTTTTTATTTAAATGCTTAAGATGACCAAAACCTATTTAGGACAGCCAGTATGCATGTAAACCTTACATCTGAGTTCTTCTCCTCATGAAGGTATGTGGTGTTCTACACACCATTTGACATAGGATACAAGATAACGAAGTTTCTTCCTGTGAAACTGGTCCTGGCTGCAATGAAGGAGATTTATAGGTGTAAGAAGGTTTATGATGGAGTCACCCATTCTGCCAAAATCTTCCCAGCTGGCCATCTCCCCATGATTGTGATAGGAACCATCAAAGGTTTGCATTAACTGTCATCTTTGGTTAGGTTCTTTTTTATCAGTGCTGTTATTTTAAAAGTGGATACAAGGAAGGTGGAGCTGTTCTCCACAGCTGAGTTTGTTTATGAAGCATGGGTGAAAAATTCCTACTTTGTTTGCTAATGGAATTCTGTTTTGGAATTCTGTCTCCTGCCAAACCTTGAGGTTTGGCAGGAGCTTCCAGAAATGCCAGAAAACATTGCATATCATGTGACATTTGTTTGGAGTGTTTTGATGTGTGCATCCTTTCATAATTTATATTTGCTTATTTTAAAAGGGGGTGTCTAGTTCATATTCCCCAGTAAACAAGATCAGAAAGTATTCCTAAATAAGTTAGCCATTACTTACAGCATTCTTCATTGCCAGTGAATCCATTCTTGTGTAACATTCCAAGTATCACATCTAGTTTGATGTTAGATTCGTCTTGCTAGTCCCCTCATTGAATGCAATGTGTAAGAAAACCTATAGCCCCAGTTGTGCTCAGCTTTTTTATGCCCATAAAGTCATATATCACAATTTTATTTTATTTTTAAGGGAATGGTGCTGGATTCTTGAAAGTATTTGAAAGGTTACTACGAGGCGTATGGACTCCAACTGCAAGTGAACTGCTCCAGCCAAGCTTGTTAGTGTCTTTTTTATCTGTCTCTCGATCATGTTAACAGAAGGAGCTAATTTTAATCACTTTTTTTTCAGCCCAACAAAAGCATGCTTGGTGGCATCAGTGATCTTTGTGCTGGACAAGAAGACAGAGCTCATCTCAGCCCCTCATGCTCTGGTATACTTTGGAATCGTCATCTTCTTTGTCTATTTCAAGGTCAGTTTATTTTTTCTGCTGTCTAGTGTTGCAGAGTCTTCATTCTGCATCATGTTGATTAGTGATTTATTTCACTGGGTATCCATTCATTTTATGACCCAATTTAAGGATATGATTTTTTTACAGTTTAGAATAGATCAAAGTCATATGTCATCACACTCATTTGTTGTTTTTGATGACTGACTGCCTGCCTATGTATGTGCATTATGTGGACACAATTGAATTCCCACCAATGTAAGTGAAGGAAATAAAGATTCAGCAATGGTAGATAATTCTGCAGTGCCTATGGCAGAGACTAATTAGTAAGTGTTGTCTGAAGGTTACATCATCTAAGCCAAAGAGCATCAACACAGACACATCCCTTTCTTGGGTGAGCCATAACTTTGGCCCATATAGTTTATTCTAATATGATTCACCTTTTTTGATAAATATTGAAGAGGTAAATGTAGAACAGAGTTCAGAATAGAGATGACCAAGGAGACTTTACTTGGGAATTTGAATTTCTAAGGACTGTAAAGTAAGTCTGCCTCAACCAAACAGTGGCAAGGAACATGTCGATAATGGGAAATATTTGATGAGAGCTACAAGTGCTGCAAAGAAAGGCTAACCAACTTGAGGAAGTGTAGTAGAAGAGATTTTAAGGATATGTAGAGATACAGTACTTTATTTGGAGGCATTTACTGCTTGGTCAAATAAGCCAAGATTGTTCCTTTTACCAGCCAGTAGAGTTGGAACTGCCTTGGTGAGATTGGTCCACACTCAGATGGTTGAAATGAATTTCAGTCAGGAGTGTGACTGAATAAGATGATCAATGAGATCAAACACCATATTATCATGGTACCATGCGCATGCTATGGGAATCTTTGAAGTATGAATTCTTTGGTTTAGTATTTGTAAGAAATTAAAAAGAGTGAAGAAATATTTTTTCCAGCTTTTTAGTTTTGGAGTGTCTGAAGGATATCCCTTTCACCTTGATAATGCTCTTCATCACAGATCACATTATGGTTAACTGGGAAAAGTGTATTTTTTAACTTCTCTTGGACAACAGGTTATTCAATCATTCATCAAAGACATAGTTGACACTATGACAATAAGGCTAATAATAACCAAATCAGAGCATTTCTTGAAGAACAACAGTTCACTTTTTTTTCCCAGATTGAAGAATGATATTGCAAGTTCACCTACTAGAGAGCTGAGACTCTAAGGCAGCTTCTTGTTGCAAGATTGTACTTTCTGAAGTTCAAAGAAAAAAGGGTCAATTCTTGCCCTCCTGAGAGAATTTTTACATTTCTGATTGTGGCATTTTGACTTCTATTCAGTCTCTATCAGTAAATCATTTATGAAGTCCATGATGAACTTTCAAAATGCTGTGAAGTTCTAATAACATGTATAGAGTGTGCTTTCTTTTTGAAATACCACTTTTCCACATTTGCCTTTTCTTTTATCATTTGAGGCATGTACTTGATATCCCTCCCTATAGCTGTCCTCCATGTTGCTGGGCATCCATGACCCATTTGTGCCATTTGAGAATGTATTCTGCACACTCTTCCTGGGAGGGATCTGGGATCTCATGGGCCGTGCCTTCTCGGGTGGGAAGGGTGCCGAGGCAGCAGCCAACAACCCTGGTGGCCAGCAGAAGTCTGATGCCCATGCAGCCAAGAACGGGAAGGCAGACAGCTTGAAGAAGAAAGAGTAGTAGATCCTTGCTTCCCTCCTCCCCTTACTCCCATTCATCTCCTGGCAATTGAGTCTCCCATGTAAGATGCCATAATCTGCCTTCATTCATGTAGTGTTTTTATTGCTTCCAACCTGATGTAGTAATATAACCAGATTCACTTGTGTTAAGCCTCCTATGCAGTCTTGATGTCACTTCAGTTGCAACTGACTCGGCAGCAAAGATGAGACTGTTGTTGCCTCCTTGAGGGAAATATTTTATTAGGAAGTACAAGGGGAGGTGCAAAAGTAGTGAGACTTTGTAATTATGTGGACAGGACTTTATTTATACCTTTGTGCAAATATAGACCCTTTATTTCTCTAGGTAGTCTTCCTGCCTCTATACACATTTTCCCCATCTGTGGTTCCATTTATTGAAAGAAAGACAGGCAATAAAAGCACGAGTTTCACTACTTTTGCACCTCCCCTCACAATTTCTCATGTTGGTCTGGCTTGTGTTTACAAAAAGGTTTGACAATCCATATAGAGGCAAAAAAAACTGCTAAATCAGATATTCACTTTCACTATAGTGACTCTTTGGTGTCAAATTTCAGGGTCACAACATGATATGAAAAGGTGTTGCATGGAATGCTTCATCTTTGAGTATCTCTGTCGCTTCCCTGCACTTTTTTCGATGTGCTCAAAAAAAAGAGAGCAGAGAGCCAGAAGTACTGCTTTTGTGCTGCCAGATGAATGATAGAGACATGGAGAGAAAAAATTCTGAAGCATTGTCTTCATCTTATGTCCTTTCCATAGGTTAATGACATTCTTTTAAATGTGTTTCTCTGCAAAAAGGAAAAAAAAAACTAGTTATTATAAGAAAATCATTCGATCATTTAAATAAATTACACCATTTACATTTTTAATCCAGAAAAAGTTATTGGAATTGAACTGTTTCCTGTGGCCTTGAGATTCAAAGACTATCCTCTCTTTTCAAGTGCAGGGAGATGAAGATCCAGGCAGTTTTCACTGGGGGAGAGAGAGGTTTCCCTTTTGTCTTCCTTGAGGCTCAAGTGCCAGGTAGCTCAAGCCAAAATATCTCACAAGGAACCTCATTTCCTCAACTGGGGTGTTGCGCAATATTTCTAGTCATTTCTTTGTTTTCTTCCTGTTGCTCTTTGTCTTCCTTGTCTATCCTTTTTTTTTCTGGCAAAGCTTCCTGGTGGTGAGAATTTTTTTCATTTTGTCTCACCTTAAAGTTGATACCAGGGTTTTTTGTCCCCTATTAACAAAGAGACTGAAAACAGTTTTTATATTTTGCTTTCATTAATCCAGTGTGAACATTATGTGAGGATGTGCTGATAAAGGGCCCATGATAGTGTTTGTTTCATCTTGTTTTTTCTTGTGCTTCATTGTGTTTTGATTTGCATACCACCCAAGTGCTCTTGCCCTTCACTACCCAGGTTTTCAATTTGTGGATTCCGCTTGCTTTAGTGTTTTAAGTGTGTGGTGACTCTTAGTGCATGATGAAAATTAAACTCAATTTTAAATGTAGACACCTGTCTATGAGCAAATCAGCTCTTCAGAAGGCTGTGTAATCCCTTTTTAAGTTGATGTCACTGTAAAATTGTTTCTGCCATCTCAGCTCATGTTTGCATTTTGCTCAGGGGACTGCAAAAAAAATAGGTATGCTCCACTGTGACAGCAAGTGAGGCTAAAAAAAAATTTGGGATCATGAGAGAAAGCTGAATCACTCTTTATGCCCATCAGAACCTCCATTAGTTTGCACCTTGCTGTCAGCGTAAAAACATAAGCGTGTCCATCCATTTTTAGTGTCTCAGCTAATACATAAGTTCTGCTGCATGGCTGTACCATGAAGTTACTTGTCTTGCTGGTTTACCTCCTGCTCACTCATGTTTCAACATATTTCACATTCCAATATTCCTCATTATTGCAGTTCAGGTAATGGTACTTCAGCTTGTCAGTCAATTGCTTTTGTGCCCAATGATGGAAGAAAGTGAAAGGCAATGGTGAAAACAGAATTCTCAGAAGTTCCTTTGATGGCAAAAATCCATTTGCTGTCCAAAGTTGTGTCTTGCAAGAGAAACCTATTCACACTCTGATTTCCACATTTTGCATGCAAAACTAACAGGAATGTGAAAGGTAACTCATCTGAAAATGTATGGTAGTAAGGGAAAGTGGAAGGAACTCCTCCATGGAAAAAAATTAGTGCAAGGAGGCAGGATATTGTACCTCTTTATTGCTCAAGCATGAGGCTATGCATTTCCACACAGACCAATATTCCATAAGCTTCTTATCTTTTTTAGCCTCACTTGCTCCAAGAGTGGATGAGTTTTCTCAAGTCCCGTAGAGTTTGAAACTTCCTTGAAATCCAGGATTAGTTACTTAACAGCAAGAATGGAAGCACTATTTATGTTTGATGAAGGCAAAAAGCTCAAATTATGCCTATAGATGTGAGGAAGTGAACTTCAGCTTGCAGGAAATGGCAAACGATGTTGGTAAACCTTTATCTAATTGTTTTGCGAGTTTCTATTCTTGAACATAATGTTAGGTCAAACCAGGTGTGATTTTTTGTTTCCTCACCTGCTGTTACTTCTTGTGCAGAGGAGTGCATGCATGAAAGTGGACTTCTCTTAGAAGTGAGTGAATTTCGTGTTGTTGATATTGGCTTTCCCATGGATGTGTCCATACAATGACCTATACTGGAGCATAATTTCTAATAATTTGGAGACATCAAATTAGGTTAATGACCGTGCTTCCTCGCAAAATGGGATTTCGATGGCAAAAGGATGACTGATCTGGTACATATTTTCATTCCCCCCCTCCCCCTTCGTCAAGTGGTAAGACAAAATAGAAACATAATGCAGAGGGGAAAATGACAGCTTTATTCATGAGATATATAACTCTCCAAATATCAGAGAGTGGTTTGACTTGAATAATATCTTCATAGATGATGTGACAGAAATAAATGGAGAATGAGAAAGTAAACATGTGAAAGGAATGGGAATATATCATGGAAAAAGAACACCCTTTAGACGCCTTTAGCAAGGAGGGAATCGTAGACGGAGAAAGCTTCATCGATGTCCACATAGCAGCCCACAAGGTGCCTACAATGGATCATATTTTTATAATTAAGTTTTCAAAAACGTATATGTTTTGCATAGGATGTCTATGATTTCAAGAATATATTTCTTGAAATCATAGACATAGGAAGCCCATCCAAGATACTTCCATGCAATTGTCTCCAATGAGAAACAGTCCAGACTTCCATGCATCTTAAGTGTCATGTGGAATACACAGCATTGAAAATATTTATGTGCCTAGGAAATAGAGTTTGTTACTGTCCCAGCTCTCATAGATATCATGTGCTGAGGAATTATTGTCTCTTTTTCTTCAGTATTATATTAGTGCTTTACTCTTTTTCTGTGCCAAATGTCTACAACTTTTGGCAATAAGTTGATTCTTCTGGTGCTAAAGGTCAAAGTTTTCAAGCACTTTTTTTTATACTTTTCCCTTGTCATTTACTGTGGGGAAAGAAAATGTTTTCCTGTAGTTACAGGTGTCATTGAGAACCCATGATTTTCAATTTTCCTCTGGGAATAAAAGCTCCATTATTGACTGGATCGAAGTCTTCTTTTCATATTGACTTCAAGGCCAAGGGCTCCAACATCATACACACTCTCCTTCCAATACATACAGGGTGGCCCAAAAAAGGCACACTTTTCGAGCGCAACGCCGATTTTTCATAAGCGAGATTCAATCTTTCTTTCTAAGTCACTGTAAAGAATATTTCAAATCTGAAAAAAGCATCCCGCCTAAAATGCGTCCCATAAAAGAGTGCCCTTTTTTGGGACACCCTGTATAGTGGAACGGCAAAACACACTCTCGACTTTTAGCAAATAAAATGTGCCTCTTACCGTTATTTACGCAAAACTTGCATCGTTCATAAGCAGCATGAAACTTGCGAAATTATTTTAATCATCCCAAACCAAAGCTAAGAGCTAATATTGAAAATAAGCTGGATATCGAAAACAGACGACGGCCTGCGCAAGGAGTCGAAAGGAGGGAGAGTCCTGGCGCTGTGGTTGCATACTCTGTAAATTTGTTTATGAGGAAAGCATGTGCCATCGTGCCTACCTGGTGACCTTAGTCGGGTCAAAGCTGGTACGGCCATGAAGGACGCGACGGTTGTTGAAAGCCACCAGGTCCCCGGGGAGCATCTGGAACACCAGCTCAGTCTGCTGGTCTCGCAGCTTGCTGACGAACAGCTTTGGGGGGGAAAAGTCGGGAAATACGTAAACATAAACATAAAATACATAAACAAGAAGTCTAATCTTGGGACGATGTATCGAAACAGTTACGGACAGGGCGAATACAAAGCTTGGATTACCGTAATTTTTCCAATTAAATGTAATGCCCGAATATGATATTCAAATACTGTTAATGATGTGAATACTGATAACCACTAAGTAAAACAATCTCCCTTGTACCTGGTGGCGCGAAAAAATTCTTCTCGTTTGAAGCTTCATGAAACGGACTGTGGAAAGGTTAGGTTCTTAGTTTTATTTGTATCCCAATAGAAGCACTCAAAAATTAGTTTCCTGGAACCTTAAAGCGTCTCGGTAATTTTGATTTTTTTTTTATAGTCATCCTAACTTCAGTATTAAAAAAATATTCAGTTTTGCCACGTATCAAGTTGGCTCATTACTGAGTAGCCAATTGCTCAAAATGAATTCGCGATTGAATACAATATGTCCTATGTGAGAAAGTCTTGCCGCCGTCTGGACTCGGCAAGGACAAGAAAGGACAAGCACGTCGCACGTATTGCACGAAAGAGGAAAGAGAGAGACCTTGAGGGCATGATAGAAGGGAATGATGATGTGTCCTGGTGCCTGGAGGGGACCCATGGTCCGATTATTGTAATGGATCTCGCTCACGTTCCCTTGGTTGTCCAATAGGATCACCGGCCATAAATTTGAATACCGCTTCTGCAATGTAAACAACAAAGGTATTAAGTACTGCATGTGCTATCCTTATCCTGCTCTGCATGTTGATACTTCTTTCCCTGAAATCCAGAATTTCCCTTAATCTCACCGTCCCCCAGCTCGAAGATGCACCGTATCTTCCAGGAAATATATATATATATATGATTGTCTCCCCTCGTGAAGGTAATAAGGAAAAGAGTACTGCAGTGAGTTACATATCTGCAGACCGTGCGTCTCGTTCTTACCATGTCATCAATAATATGTGCGACCATCAACCACAACTCGCAAGATCGAGTAAAATAGCTACAGGGTATTATAACTCCGAAATAATTCAGAGAACAAAACCGTCATCGTGGGAACGGGCACAGACATAATACGGTGGACAAATCGGTTTTGTTTGCTGTCGCCCCTTAAAAAAATGTCACCACGAAATGATCACCAATCACCGCGAGAACCACAACTCAAATGAAAAGTCTGAACAGGAATATCATCTCGTTTGGGTTCCCGGAAGTGGGAGGGAATCATTTCCTGCCACTTTGTGTACACCTTCCAGCGAACTCTTGCTGTATTGCCAAACGATGATTAAAAAAAAAGAGGAAATTTTAAGCGAATCTGTACAAAATTAATTGCAAGTAAGCATTGGTGCAATACAGTACCGAGAAAAATAAAGAAAATATACGAAACTCGAGTTGTGAGGTTGAAAATCCTCATTTCCGAAGAACCCACTGAAATAATCGACAAGGGCTGCAAAGAGCAAATGCATATTACCAGAGTCTTTTTTTTTTTACACGACCATGACGTAAGCTGGGCGCCTGCACACGGCGAGTCGTCCGCCGGTGGCGAAACGATTCGCTTGCTACATACGGTGACGTCATTCGAAGGACCACCCGCACGCGCGGAATGCCGACCGACGGGAACGAAGGGATGGGCGAACGACGTACCCCGCCGGACTTGATCTGGAATCGAATCGGCGTGGAGGAAAGGATGTGGAAAGCGGTGGGCTCGTGTTCCTCCAGCCACTGCGCCACGTAGAAGCCATCCACGAAGAAGGACTTTCCCATGCTCTCGTCCGCACCCGACGACTTCGCCTGAAACACACGCACGACGCACCGTCACGCGCGGAAAAGGAAAGGGAAGGGACGCGACTCGTGGTCGATTCGACTTTCGGCTCGTTCGGCGGCAGTTTTAAACGATCGCAGCGCGGACGAGGGCGATCGCTTCGTGTTCCGTAAACTCGCGAAAACTCCACGAAACGTTCTGCGAAGATCCGCGACTTTTTAAAAATGATTTTCAATAGCGGAACGGACGTACCGAAAACGTTTAAATTTAGATATTTGGAGCGAGTATGTCGAAATTTCAGGCATACATTTAATCTATTCTGTGGCTCTTCGACCGAAAATGAAAATATTCTTCCAACGCCTCAAATCAGGCTCGGAACAACTTGTCGCGGAAACATATCCCCTTTTTATCCCATTAGAGTCAGGCGAACGAGAAACCAGCGAGCAGTTCCCCGCCGAAGTCTCGAGCGGATCGCGACGGATCGCGACGGATCCCGACGACCCCCTCCCTCGAGTCACCGATTCGACCGCGAGCGAGAAAACGTTCTCTCGGCACCTGGATGCAGTGCAGCAGTTGGAGTCCGGGGCTTTTCTCGCGGTAGTTCATGTCCGTGTGGTGTTCCAGATAGCGACCGGTGAACGCGAGGTGATCCGGCTCCGGTTCGCTCACCACGTCGAACGTCACCCCGTACGACGTCTCTTTCACGTACGCGAACCGGTGCACCACCTCCACGACCTTCTCCTGTGGGATGAAGCGCGATGATGATAATAAAATAAATAATATATACCTCGTGTGTGATTCTCCTGTCGACGGCACGCAATAAGGGACGATTACAAAATTTCAAATCTGCTTTTCTCACGGAATCTGCGGTTTCTTTCAGGATTCCATGAAACTGGAATTCAAGTTTATATATATGCTCATAGCCAAAAAAAGCAAAACAAAGAAGGAATCGAGCGATATTGATGAAATTCGGTTAGTTTCAAGGACGTAGGGTGAATCTTCGCAGAGAAAACTTTGGAAACACTTCTATCTTAAAGGGCGCGGAGGATCTTACTAATTGTGCAAAACGAACGAAGGTCATCAATTAAATGCAGAACAGGGACTCTTAATGAAGTCGAGGAAAATCGAATAAGATGAGATGATGAAGAGAAAACTTGCGAAACGTCCAAGTGATGGATGACGTCACCTTTATTAATTCTCTCCAGCCCCTTCGTTATTGGGCCATTTTCAAGTTTCTTTGCTCTAGTTTTTTTATTCGGTATTTCAACTTTCAAGTTATACTTCAAACACGAGACGAAAGCAGAAAAAAGCATCTCGTCCCTTCTTTTTTTTTTCCTCCTAAAGCTTCCGAGTCTCGAATCGATCGTCGTCAAACGACGATCGGGCTGAACGGAGCCTCAGAACCCGTAAGAAGGGAGAAACGGCTGACCTTCTCGGTCGGGACGCCCCGAATCACTGCGAATCCGTACTTGTAGACGAGCTCGAGCCACCGCTTGAGCCCCTCCTCGCTGGACTGGAACTCCTCGTAGGCGATCTCGGGGAAATGCTTCCAGATCCTCGTCCGGTCCCAGGTCTCCACGGGAGGTCGGAGGCCGCCGGTCTCCACGTCCAGCTGGCCCTCGAACGTGTCGTGCATGAAGCTCTGTCCGTAGCGGTACAACCTGAGGGGGAGGGGAACGTCCTCGGATGCAAAGGCGTGCTTTCCGTCGGCTCCGTTTTTTTTACATTAAAGCGAAACGGAAAAATCGGCGAGAAACCGATTTTCCTCACTCTTTGACGCGAAATTCTCGGTCGGTTTTCCCCGTGCGACTGTGTCGGCTCGCGTAGTAGCAGTTGCTCGTGGTTCGAGAATACGTGGGCTCGGGTTTACCCCTTCAAATCTTCATTCGATTCGTTGTTGTTCCATTTTTTTGTGAAATCCGGATAGAAACGCGATTCATCTCCGAGTCTTTGCGTGATACCGGTTCCGCGAGTTTTTTTTTTCTCGCTCCGGTGGGCTCGATCGTGACCCCAGGGCGAAAACATGTTTACCCTTTCATCCAGACTCCGATGATATCGCACGCGATGAAACGAAAACAAAGCGACAAACGACCGAAACCCGACCCGGCAACTGGAACTTGCGCAACCGACCGCCAGCTTTCGTGGTCGGCCTTGCATCATTCGAACCGGGAAATATTCCACCTGGGCCGATTTACTCCCTTCGGCGTTCGATAGCGACGGCAAAAAACATCGAATGGACTCGGTCAAAACGCATCGCTTAAAAGGGCTCATTGCCGATCGATAAAATCGGGTTTCGTTTCTGCACCGCGCTCATTTTTTATCCAGGAGCATTCGATCATACAGAATCTGATCGTGTTTACACCAACTCAATTCCTTTTTTCTAATACTTTCTTCTTTTCAATTTTTGTTTAATCATGAAACCCGAGATGAGTCGACGCTACATTACCACCATCCCCTTCTGCACGAATGCAGCTTCCTCGGCATACTTCACGAGAAGGCCACGGTTGGTCTCCGATGGCCATGGATTCATTGCGACGTCGACGATGAGTAGCCGTGATGGCCCTTCCGTTACAGCTGTTCTCTCGGTCCATCCCATGCCTCCCGTTTCCAGGTTTTCCCAACCGATTCGGTGGAATCGCAGACATTTGCCGAAAAATAAACAAGAATAGATTTTAACTGAATTCTTTACCTGTTGAATCCTTCGATGGAAAAGAAATTAGCGCGAGTGAAAACTATCGCAGAATAGACTAAGTCGGGATGACGGGATGCACGATCTCTTCGAACGACGCGGAAGAAAGAAAAGACCGAAACGGAACGGAACGACCGAAACGGAACAGAAAGATCGAAACAGAAACGGGAAAATACCAGCTTGCATCGAAGACGCTGCGGTGGCCGTCGGGCCAGAGGACCTCCAGCCTCCCCTCCTCGTTCACCTGCATGGCGCTGGGTCGGATGTTCACGTCCAGCGAGCCCGTGTCCAGCAGCTTCTGACGCGTCTCGGGGTGCAGGCAGCTCCCACATTTGCAGTTGTCTCGCAGCTGCAACGAGAATCGAAAAGACGCGCGTCGTGACGGTCTCGTCGGGTACTCTCGGTTGGAATCGTTTTTGCGATTTTAAAATCTCATTTCGTGGCACTTCATTCGAGTGGGAATCACGAGTGGAAATCTAAAAAGAAAAAAGGATCACCACCTATTTTTGCACGTGGTTGCTCTCAAAGTTGCTATCATTTTGCAGGATTTCGTCGATTCACTTTTTCTAGCACTTATTTAAAACGTAGCACAATTTTTCACATAGGCTTAACGTGGAAAGAAGCTGGAGGGAGACGGAGGGATGGACCGTAGAATACATTTCAGACATCTTTTCAAACTCCGGGATCGGACATGCAATCGCTCGACCTCCGATGACCTTCACGGATGGGAATCCGTAAAGGTCCAATTGACACCTCGGTGGTCCAATTGACTCCTCGGTGGTCCAAATGACACCACCAAATGAGTTCCCGTCGTTTTACCGCGGAGTTCTGTCGCCCGGATCGGGAAATAAGTCGGGATTAAGTCGAGCCGAGGCTAGGATTAATCTTAATCTTAACTCGACCCGAGTCTAAACTTAATCTAAACTTGAACTGGAAGCATTTTAAAAAGCAGCCAAGGGTGTCTGTCCCTCACCTCGGTGCCGAATCGCCGCTTTTAGACAAGATTAAGTTTAAAATAAAATTAGTTCTAAATTAAGCTCGGAACGAGTTCCGACTTGGATTAAGCTTAGCAGGGTCGTGGAATATGTCCCAGATCGATTCTCGGGTCGATTCCGCTCAAACGGTGACGGTTCGAAGGCGGATTCAATTTTCGAGGAAACTTCATCATTTAAGACTTCGGTGGATTTCACGAGTTGAGACCGGCAGGAAGTTCACCTTTTTCCGAACTGAGGGGGATCGACAATGGCATCGGATGGCATCGAATGGCATCGAATGGCATCGGATGGCATCGAATGGCATCGGATGGCATCGGATGGCATCGAATGCGACCCCCGAATCCGACGGGGTCGAGTCGCAGAAAACCCGCCGTTTTGCACGGGAGTCACGAGGGGGGGGGGGCCGACGGACGGGCACAAGAGCAAACAAACAAACGTCCTCTGTTATTATACAGATAATCTTGTCGTTATTACTCGTGGTCCTTTTCCTCGCTCATCGCTCCTCCCTCTCCGGCCTCGGCTGCCCCATCAATAATTTGTGGGCCCACCCATGCAGCTCGTTCATCGATCGTATCATCATGGTATCGTCGCGATATCGTGACATCGTCGTGACGTCATCATGATATGACGATACGAACGAGGAGAGGAGAAGCTACCCTAAAGCAGGAAAAAATGTTTCGGTTTCCTGCTCTAAGTGCTGGAAAACGGCAAGCAAAAAACGGAAAAGATTTTACAGTTTAAGAAATTTCAACTAATATTGCTCATTTGTGCTCCAGTGGATGACTCTAACTCCACTTTTCACATTTTCAGATTCTAGAGAGAGCGTTAACGCGTTTTAACTTGGGGGGGGGGGGGGGGCCCCCCCCCCC